ATTTGTTTGTGAATATATTTATTACTATAACTGTTATATTTACACGTGCAAAAGTTTCCGGCCAATTAATGTTATTAAAAAAATTATTGGTCCACATGTTCTATAATTAAACTAGACTAATATTTTGTAGCCATACCCTTTGCAGTGATAACAGGGGCACAACAATATGGCATTGACTCGAATAATCGTTTAATACAAGCATGTAGAATTTTATCTCATTCTTCCTTCAATAATTTGAAAATTGCGACTTTATTTTAATATGAATGCTTTCAAATTTGAGATGGCCATCTTAAAACTCTTACATGAAGCTGAAAAGCAATGTTTTAACAACTTGGATGTGTGTTTGGGTCACCATCTTGCTGAAATATCTAATATTGTAGCATTATTTCTTCAGCATATAATAACAAATTGTTTCTAAAATGACGCCTTCATACTTTCTTTGATCTTGACCAAATTGACTACTTAACGGACTACTTGCCCAAAAAAAAATTCCTCTAACCACCACACCTCCTCCATCATGTTTTACAGTTGGAATTTAGCAACGAACGTCATTTCAAGTGCCAATTTGACGTCATACATGTTGTATGACACCCAATTTGCACTTGAAATACCATCCCTTCCAAAAAATTTAATTTAGATTTGTCTGAGAAAGCTACTTTTTTCAATCTTTGATTGTCCATTTAAAGGTGATCTTTGGCAAATTGCTACTGAGCTTTCTAATTCTTTTTTATTGATAAATAGTTTTTAATACCAATACAACAAAAAAAAATTCTTCATCATGTAGTCTTTGAGTCACTGTACTATGACTAACATCAGCTTGTTTTCATCCTTTAGCCTTTAGCATCGCGTGCATATATATATATATATATATATATATATATATATATATATATATATGCACGTGATATATACATATATATATACATATTTATGTATATATATATATATATATATATGTATATATATATATATATATGTATATATATATATATATATGTATATATATATATATATATATATACACATATATATATATATATATATATATACATATATATATATATATATATATATATATATATATATATATATATATATATATATATATATATATATATATATATATATATATAGCTGACAACACTATCGGTACACACTAAAATTTATTAGACCAACAGAAAATTCAACAATACTAATTGATCTATTAGCAAATTTATCCATATTAGTGCAAGTTTATCCATATTGGTCAATTAAAAAAGAGCAAACAAATTTTTAAAGAAACTTTTCTCAAAATAAAAAATTATCTTAATTTTCAAAGTAGAAGTATTACCTCAAACTCTTTATTGTCAAACATGTTCTTCAGTATCACAATGCGGTCAAACTTACTTCGCTTTTGAGGCCTGTCGACCCAATCTAGTAATCTAAAAAAAAGTAAACATTAAAAACCCTTGAGAATGTAAAACTTATTTAAAAAATCTATTTTAAATAGTATTAAATAAATATTTGTAGCTATTATTATTATTATCATTATTATTTAAACAGTATTAAATAAATATTAGTAACTATTCTTATTATAACTTATAAATATATTGAAATTGAAAAAAAAAAAGAACAACTGAAAGATATATAATAATGATTAAAACTATTGATTCCTTAATGAAAAAAATATTGAGTACAAAAATTGCCACATCCAAGTATCATGCTTAAATTGTTTTTCTATAAATGCTATCTATCAATACTTGTGTTTAAGATTATAGGGTTTTGATAAGTTTGTCTAAACCCTATAATCTTGATTTTACAAGATTATAGGGTAATGAAATCTCAAAATTAACAACTATAATGTCTGCTGATGATACAAACCTATTCCTTTCTAATAATAACATCAATATACTTTTTTAAGATATGAACATTAAACTAACAAAAATATCTGACTGGTTTAAGTCAAATAAACTTTCACTCAACATTGATACAACTAAATGGATTTTCTTTCATCCACGATTTAAAAAACATTTACTTCCAAGTAATATGCCTCTTCTTCATATTGATAATATTCAAATAAAAAGAGTAATTTTCACAAATTTACTAGGTATCATTGTAGATAAAAATTTATCATGGAAGAATCACATTGGACGTTTAAGCAACAAAATTTCAAAAAGCATTGGAGTTTTATATAAAGTAAGAAGTGTTTTAAACAAACATTCATTAACACAACTATGTTATTCTTTTATACATTGTCATATTAATTATACTAATATCCTCTGAAAGGTACATAATTTTGCAAATTATGTCCATTTTGCAAATAATTTTGCATTTTGTAATGGTCCTCTGAAAGTTCTCTTCTTTCTCTTTCAGTAACTTCCAATTCTAATAGTGGTTGCTTCCAGCCTTGTTGGAAGTGAAGATTTATAAAAAAAAAAAAAAATTCAACAATCAGGTCGATGCTCTACTCGATTGTTAATGCTCTACTTGATTGTGTTATATGTTGCTATTTATTTTAATGAATTGAATAAAATAATAAATTTAACAAAAAAAAAATCAACAAACAAAATTAATAAATATTCACAACATAAACAAAAAAAAAAAGCACACACATACACACACACACACACACACACACACACACACATATATATATCCTTGCATAGTAGTCGAAGGAGATTTTAGTGGTAATAAAAGTCTATTTTTACGCTTTTTTTTTAACATTTAAGCAACATTTGAATGTCGTTTAAACATTAAAGCAATTAAAAATATGCAGATAATATATTAAATTTATCCTTTTTCTAAAAACCGCAATAATTATGATTAAAAAGTTTTATAAGTTAATGGTGCTTTTGTTTATTTATTGTTTTATAATATTTTCAAAACATGCAGGAAGTGTTGCTACATCAACTAAAAAAAATTAAAACATGCAAGGAGCATTGCTACATCGACTGAGAAATAGATTAAACATGTGTTAAGCGCTGCTAAACCAACTGAAAAATAGGTACAATATGCAAGGAGTGCTGCTACATCGACTGACATATTGGTACAACATGCATGATTGCTGCTATTCTTTTATTTATTTTAAAAAATCTTCACTTCCTACAAGGCTGCAACCACTATTTGAGTTGGAAGTTACTGGAAGAGAAAAGATAAAGTTTATAAAGCAAAATAATGATTAACAGACAACTTAATAGATTGCAAATTATATGAATCAGGAAAACAAGATAAAGGAAACGAATTCCAAAGAACTTATGTTCAAGGAAAAAAACTAAAGAATAAGATTTTTTGAAGCACTTTTTCTAGCACAGGAATAGCCACAGTAAAAGGATGACACTTGATTGAATGAAGAATAACACAAGATTGCATTTTGGAAGATGGCACAAAAGACACTAGCTCTTTAGAGCAGTGCCCATTATAGTATTTGTAGAAAAGAGAAAGGAAAGCAACATTACGATGATGTGACAATTGTTGAAGGTTGGCTGCAAGAGCAGTTCCAACTATGTTTACAAAGTTTTTTATTTGCCTTATCTACAAGAGAAAGGGCAACATCAAAAGATCCACTCCCATATATTGCAACAGTAATCCATACAAGGACAGATTTGAGATTTATGGATAGAGAATAGAATCTGGAGTAAGAGCATGTCATGCTCGATAAAGAGATGCAACTTTAGCAGATGCTAATTATGAAATTGACCTTATATATGGCTTCCAAGAAAGACTCATCGAGTACATTACCATTCATAATATAGGAAGATCTAGATTGTTGCAATACAATTAGCTGAAATAAATTGAGTTTTATCTGAATTTAAGTTCACCAGCCATTTATAGCCCCATGCTGTTGCAGAAGTTAGATCCTTTTCAAGCTCAAATGCTCCCTCCAAGCAATTAGATGGTGTTGGCTTCTTATCAGATGGTTGTAACTTCTTATGAAGTTACAGGAAATGAAAAAAGTGCTGTCCATGAAAGACAACTTTTATACTACGATTGGTAAGGAAGGACTCAATAATCTTAAAGATGTTACCTGATGCACCCTAAGAAGAGAGCTTATGGAGAAGACCAGCATGTCAAACTTTATCAAAGGCTTTAGAAATGTCAAGAGTGACAACCTTAACCTCTCAATATCTACCTAATGCAAAATAAAACCTATCAGTTATTACTGTTAACAAACCAGCAGTAGAACGAGATTAAAAGATTAAAATTTCATATTGATGATCAAAAAGTAAGTTATTATACTCAAGATGAGAGATGTTTGTTAATTAAAGATTTTTGAGATGAAATACAAGATTTTGTTACCTGACAATAGCGGGTTTTGGCAGTAGATAAAACCTTTTACAATGGTTTCTAGCAGTAGCAAACAGGCGTCTGTTTTCTGGAGAATTGTTTTAGAGATAGATACAGTAGTAATGATTACAAATTAAAATTTAAAATTACAACAGTACAACCAGAGGAAAATCATGAGAAAAACTGAGGCTTAACTTGGGGGGAATAAAAGATTCCATAAGAAGCACATTTGTCAGGAGGAAGACAAAAGATTTCTACGCAAAGACAAAAGATTTCTACCCAAGGGCCATCACAAAGAAAATCACGGAAAGAGTCCCAGTTAAGTCTTACTTAAAGTAGTTGTAAGATGTACATTGATAGGGGGATTCTGATGATGAAGAAGAATGACTTTTAGAGAGATCAAACCATGATCAGAAGCACCTAAGGGTTTATGTCAAAAAATGATCACTGAGTAGGATTAGAAACAAGACATAAGTCGAGTAGAGAAGGTAGATGATTTGGATTGTCTGGAAAGAGAGTCTGGAAAATCGACTATTTGTGTTAGAGATTGAGAAAGGCAAAAGCTGTGGGAATTAATTCCTGCAGAGTCACTGACACTAGAGCCATTTAGTGTTATGAGCATCAAAGTCACCAACAACAACGATATTGGCTGAAAGATAAAAAGAAAGGGCTTGGTCACTTTGATCAGAAATAACATTGAAAAGAGTACAGTTTTGAGATAAAGAGCGATATAAAACTTTATCACAACATGAAATACGAAATAGTAAAAAAAAAAAATATTAATTGCATAATAAATTGCAATACTAATTTATAGGCACGGTTGTTAAATTAAAAAAATAGCTGATTTAAATTAAATGCAAATGTTTTAGATTGGACTAAGTAATAAAATTATTTAACTGATAAAAAATAAACTTATTATATTCTAAATTACAGCATAATAATTTTTATTTTATATAATGAATTATATATTTTATATATTAATTACTTTAATATATTATTTAGTTTTAATAATTCTTAAAATGGGTGCATTCTTAATAATAATAAGTAAGAAAATATAAAACATTTTTTAATAATATAATGTATTGGATATTAGCTTTAACAAATCAGCCATAGAACAAGATAATCAAAATCCATATTGATGATCAGAAAGTTATTAGATTCAAAATAAGAGGTTAAGTGATTAAAGTCTCAAAAATCTTGCCAAGGTTAATACTTAGACAATACTTAAACGCTAATACTTAGAAATACTTAGACGCTAATACTTAAACAATACTTAGACGCTAATACTTAGACAATACTTAGACGCTAATACATAGACAATACTTAGACGCTAATACTTAGACAATACTTAAACGCTAATACTTAGACAATACTTAGACGCTAATACTTAGACAATACTTAGACGCTAATACTTAGACAATACTTAGACGCTAATACTTAGACAATACTTAGACGCTAATACTTAAACAATACTTAGATGCTAATACTTAGACAATACTTAGACGAGTAGTAAAATAGTAGCAGTAAAATCTTTTATAGCTCTTTGTCAAATTTTTCATCAAATAAGTAATGTAAATAAATAAATGGATAGCTAGTGTGAAAACCTTAAAATAACGCTTTAAAAAATTTTTTCCTAGCACAATAAATGACACTTGTTACCAATGTATATTCTTGTAGCATTAACGTTAAAAACATAAACTTTTAACAAGTATAAAACCAAATTTTGCATTTAATAAGCAATTTTTTTTAATGAATAAATAGATTGTGCAAAAACCAAAAGCTCCTGTAAGAAGCTGTTTAGAGGAGCATATATATATATATATATATATATATATATATATATATATATATATATATATATATATATATATATATATATATATATATATATTATATACCATGTGATAAAAGAGAGGTTTTTTAAAAGTTTTGTTACAATAAAACTAAAACAATTATTACTTGGTTTGGCCTTTCCCTTCTCTCACTTTCTTTTTCTTCTTCTTTGGTTTTAAATTTGGATTGAAATTGCCTTTCAGTTGAAAAACAGCCTTAAATTATTAGAGCAATTAGCAACATTATTATTTGTTATTTGATAAAATAAAAATTATAAAAAAAAAACAAACTATTTTAATCAATTTAATTACACTTAAACTAATTTCATAAGAAAATTATTTTAAGAACTTGTTCTTGCTTGATTTTTTATTTAACTTTTTGATTTTTTGACGCTTAATAAAAAGCAATTGTAACTGTATAATACAGTAATTAGTTTTATCATAAGCGTTCATGTAGTTTAGAAAATTTGGCTATTCTTATCATCATAAAATAATCCTAAACCAGATAAAACCTTAATGGAATCACTACCCCCCAAAAATATTTGGAATTCAAAAATGTCAACATCCTATCATATAACCCTAATATGAGCTGCTTAGCGCAACAAACGCCAAACCTACAATGTAATAAATGTTCATTTTATTTGATTTTTGGGCAACTCATACGCCATATTTTATGATTTATGGTTTATTTTTTATGATTATAGTTTGTGTTTTTATAAATTTTTTTCTTTCCTTAATATTTCAAAAAAATCTGAGAGGATTACGCAGTTGTTGCGCTAAACAGCTCATATATAAATGTGTTTTATTCTTTATTTTGAATGTATAAACACCACAAAGTCAGTAATTTTGTGTTTGTGTTAACAAAAATCAGATAATATGTAACAACACTGTTTATTAGGGCTGTACCAAATTTCGGCTCTGGCTCCTGCTCCGGCCGAAATCAGGCCATTTTTACAAATCCGGCCCAAATCCGGCTCCGGCAAAATGTTAGCAAATCCGGCTTAAATTTGACCGGATTTCTGAATTTTGATAGGATAGGTATTACATCTTTCTTGCCCTTGATAACATGTATACTTATTATTTTATTTTTACAAATCAATGTTTTTAGTAATTCTATAGGTCTATGAACTTCATGTTTGTTTTGGTATCTGTATTTAAATTTCTTTACAATTTAATCAGCTAAGCCTATAGTCTATTTTCAAACAACAACGCAACGAAAAATTCTGAAGGGAAGGCACACGATATTCTGCAATAATGCAGGTGTAAAGACTATGAATTCAATCCTAATTAAGTCATTGGATGAGCGTTTTAAAGGCATTGAGGAAAAACCTTTTTATATAGTGGTGACACTGGCTGATCCATAATTCAAACTAAACTCTTCTCATTACAGGCAACACTGACAGGTGAAAAAGCAAGATTGAAGTCAATCTGACCATGGTGAGCAGCAGATTGACAAAACTAAAGAAATTCCAGCAAAACAAACCCGGCTGGATAATTCTTATACATTGTCATCATTACAATGGCAATATATATAGATGAAATTATTCAGTCTACGCCCTCTTGTGGCACAGCCTATGACACATGTCACATGTAAAACATGAACAACAATTACCAACAGGCATTGACATTTAGGTATCCAGCTAAAAATTAACGTTCTAAGAACGTTACCATAACGTTCGTTTAGGTTTGAATAACATACGCTCCAAACGTTCTTTGAACCAACTTTTTTGAACTTCGATTTACAGTTCTTAAACGTTCGCTGTGAACGTTCAAACAATAAACAACGAACATTGATCTAACGTTCGCTGCAAACAATACTTTGATAGCTCTTGAACATCCACTCCAGCTAAAAATTAACGTTCAAAAAATGTTACCATAACGTTTGTTTAGGTTTGCATAACATATGCTGCAAACGTTATTTGAACGAATTTTTGTCAACTCCAATTTAAAGTTCTTGAATGTTCGCTAAAAGTTCAAATAACAAACAGCGAACGTTTGCTGGAAACATTACTTTGATAGCTCTTAAATGTCCACCTTAAACGTGTTATTACGAACATGGACGTTTACCCAAATTTTTTTTTTCTTTTCAATGTATAGATTTAAACATTTTTTTTAAACCTACGTTTGCTAGTATTTGTAATGTAATGCTTTTTTGAATTTACAAAACCTATTTTTACTTAAAAAATACAAATTCACCATGTTTTATAGCTGAACTACACCATATGAAGCTTATACAAAAACCTACGATTTAACTATTACATTTACGATTTAATATACATTTTGACCAAAGGCACACAATTAGCTGAGCTGATTACAATTAAGAAAAATAATACTTCTTGCAATGAAAAAGTTGATTTATTAGTACTAGTTAGTGCCCTATAGGACATAAATAACAATTTACATCAATTTAAACTAAATTTTTACAAAACAACATCAACAACTTAAAAAATAAAAACATGTTACTCTAAGGGAAAGTCCAGCTAATTCCACTAAAAACATTAAAACATGCACGTTGTATGTAAAATAGCAAACCTTACCATACATCATAATAAATAAAAACAATTCCTAATTAAAAACAAATGCTTTTTGTGGATTTGATAAACAAACTATTTCATTTATGAATTATCTATACACAAAGAATGACATTAGTTCACAATAATGTGATTTAGGGATAGCATAATTAACTTTACTTTTTAACGATTCCCTATTATTTTCAAAAAAAATAATTCAAAAGTATCATGTTGGATCTTCAAAGTAGTGAGATTGAATAAAAATTTCAATTAAATAATCATTTAATAATACAACTATTCTTTTAGATTTAATTAAATAAAAGCTATAGTTTTTTAACCGAAAATAAAAGTACATTTTCACAAGTTTTGAATAAAATATTAATTCATATATATATATATTTTTTAAAGCAAATATTATTGTTGAAATTTATATATTATTTTTGCTACATTATTTTGTGTAACAGGTTGACCTACTTTAAAAGAATTTTTTTTTAATATAAGGACACCGTTGAAATGTTAAATTAATTAAGCTGTTACCTAACATTGGAATAATGCTTTGAAATTTGAAGGAATTATTTTTTTAAACTTTTTGATCTGGTTATGTAACATATAACATAAGATATGCTAGCCCGTACTGTCAGAACTTTTTTAAAATGTCGCTGCAATTGAAAACAACAGTCACTTGGTATTCTGAATAGTGAACATTAGGGATGTACAGGATTTTGGCTCCAGTAGTTTTTTTTCGAAATCCGGCTCCGGCTTCGATTCCGGCTGGATCTTTTAGTAGAAATCCGGCAAATCCGGTTCCAGCTGGATTTCGAAAAATTAAGTCCGGTACAGCCCTACTGTTTATTAATCACATCCAAATAAGAACATAATTGTGCACCTAAGACAAAATGAAGTTTATAGTCACAAACAATGATTCACAAAGCTTGTATAAAGTTAGCAGAAAATTAATAAAGTTAATTGAAGAGCTTGTAAAACAACAATTAATCACAAAAACTTATTTTAAAATAAATGAAAATCTTTCTTACATTCTTACAAATCTTGATTTTAGATATATACTATATATATATACTATATATATATACTATATATATATATATATATATATATATATATATATATATATATATATATATATATATATATATATATATATATATATATATATATATATATATATATATATATACACTATATACTATATATATATACACTATATACTATATATATATACTATATATAGTATATATATATATATATATATATATATATATATATATATATATATATATATATATATATATATATACTTATATATATATATATATATATATATATATATATATATATATATATATATATATATATATATATATATATATATATATATATATATATATACATATATATATATATATAAAAGCTTTAAAAGATCAATTCCTTCATAGAAGGATTGAAGAAAACAACAAGTTTATCGCAACCATCCCAAATGACTGCCTCAATAAAGCATATACAGGGTAAGGCATAATTATTTAGACGCTTTTAGGTAGTAAAATATGTAACTTGATTTATTGTGTACATTATAAAACTTACATAATTAGATACATAGAGAAGCATTTTTATGTAAGTACTATTGTTTAAAATAAATTCATTAAGATAGGCTCCATTTGTCTGAGCATACATCTCTGAATATCACCTGAAAGAATTCATAATATTTGTCAGGAATTATAAAGAAATCTGCAGAATTTCAGTTGTGATTATTCTTTTAACTTGGTTATGCTGTGATATACCCTCTGGAAAACTTCATGTTATAAATACCCCCATTAAAAAAAAGTCTCATGGTGTTAAATCAGGCCAATCACAAAGGCTATATTATGTTGCTAAAACAAATGAATTGTTTCTGGGATCAGTTTTTCAGAAAACAAGTCACATACAATTTTCATTAAGAGTTGTGCCATGGGAGATGTTGCTACATTTTGTTGAAACTATCATGAGTATCAACCTTTTGCTGTCAAAGCCTTGGTCACACAACTCTCAGATGTTAATGTTACGGCTCATCTATTGTTTATTCAGAAAAAAGAAAGTAAAAAACTCACAAATGACTGGAAGTCATAACAAAAAAATTATTATGAGGCATAATAATTATTGTAAAATGAGGATTCTTTTTACTGTTTTTTTTAAAATTAAACACATAAAACATGTAAAATAAGTATTTTATGCATTCCAGTGTATAAAAGAAGAAAACCCATCAAAATATATCAACTGAGATTAATTAAAACTGGCTTATTTACATAGATCTTCTAGTTCATATTTAACTTTTTTTTCTTTTTTATATGGGTAATGACTTAAAAAGTTTAAAAACATGTATATTGCAAAAATATTTATTTAAACTTGTATTTACGAAAGACTTTTTGAAAATCCAGAAAAATTAAAAGTTGAAAGAAATATCCAGAATTCCGGATTCAGGAAAAAAATTAATTTCCGTAACTTGTTTAATTCTTTTTCTTTTCTTGTCTAAAAATGTTTGTTTAAAATCTTGTCTAGTTGTTTCTAAAAATTACATTAATGCATAGCAAACTTACGACCAAAAGTTTGTGTATCACAGAAAATTAAACAAAGCTTCAAAATAGCATAAGTGTAATGTAATCTAAGTTTCACTTTAAAATTTAAAAGTAATTTATGCAACCACCATACATCATGCATTGACTAATTGACATGATAATTTGCAGATTTAATGCTTCTTCTATTTCGAACACAAGGTTGGGCTTATTTAGAAAAAAAACTTTTTTTTTTGTCGTACTAAAAGTTTGGTAATTTTTTTATTCTATGACATGTGACATCAAACAAATCTCATTTATAGTTTTAATCTCCTTCATACATTTTTTCAAACTATTTTAGTCAAATAACCTTTTAATAAATTTTATAAAACTTACTAACATTCAAAGAATGAAATAACTTTGAAAAATCAAATTAAAAAAAAATGTGTAAACAATTATAATTAAAAAAAAAATCTTTTTACATTAATCTATTCTTATTATATCACTAATTATAATTGCTCTGATAGTTGCAATAAAAAGCGTTAGTCTGCATCTTGTAAACAATACTTTTAAAAAATGTGCTAGAACTTTTAAATAAATTTAAAAAGTTTTAAAATTATACAAAATTAAAATTGAATATTTAATAAATAATAATTAATAACTCAAAATATCAGATATATTAATTAAATAATCAAAAATAAGAATAACTCAAAGCTTTTGATATAAAAAAGATAAAACTACTTTAATAAAAATACATCATTTAATTTTTTAGAGTGGAAAATAATCATTTCATCATTTTCAGGGTGGAAAATAAGAAATGGAAGGTAAGCAGTCACTGGCCACCACATGGAAGGTAAGTCACTGGCCACCACATGGAGTCTATCAACAATTGTTTTTTTGGACTTTTAAAACTTTTTATTTTTTTCTTTGCTTAAATTTTTACTTTGGCAATAGTTCTTCATGTCTGAATTTTATATACAAAAATAATTTAATGCTTGAAAATTAACGAATTTGTATTCCTTTTAAAATAATAATTTTAAATAAAATCAATGAATTCTTTAAATGGGAACATAAGTAACTAACATTCAAATTGCAATAATTAAATCAATAATTATTGTAAAAAATAATACATAAAACGAAGCTTTTACTAAAAATGTATTTTTAAATATATGTTTCACCTGATTCCTTGATAAAAAAAAAAATGAGCAAACGCGCTATTGATAATTTTAAACTTATTTTAAAATAATTTTTTTCATTGCAATAATTTCACAAATGGCAGCAAAAGCTACAAGAAAAATAAATAAAAAAATTGAATAAAATAAAAAACAAAATTGGAAGAGAAAATGTTCTTAGCTAGGTCCAACAATTTAAAATAATAAAATAAGAACTTTAATCTTTGAAGTCAATGAAATCAAGGATCAATTCATCTTAATTTTAATCATTTTAAAATCTTTTATGAAATATTTTGATTAAAAATAAAATAAGAACTTCAATCATTTTTGAAAAAAATGATTTTTAGCACTATTAAAATGAAAGAAATTTAAATAAGTGAAGCAAAAAGATTAAGAGAGTTTACGCCATATATAATATTTGTCAACAAGGCAAATAAAGTAACATAAATAAAAAATAAAAAAACTTTTTAATTTTTAATAAAAAAAAAAAAAAAAAAAACTTTGTTGACTGGCAGTTATTTTCCAGTTGAATACATTAATAGAAAAAAACGTTTTAATTTGTTTAATTCGCATTACATGAAAATTGCAAAAAGTTCTTTTTTATTCAAAAACTTTTGTTCAAAAATAAAATATCTATCCAAAAATAAATTAAAGTAGCACTCTTCTGATGGGATGCACTACTATTGAAGCTAACCTTCTTCCTCCCTCATTTCCACAGTAAAATAATTTAGTTTATACAATTAAAAATACATTATGAACCATTAAAATAACTTAAATAAAGTATGTATAATATCAAAAATACATTTTAAATAAACATGTGTTTGATACTTGATTGCTAAAAGTTAATAAAAAAGATACTACTTATGTCCTAACCTCTTTTCTCACAAAAAATATGTTTATACAATCCTACACTATGTGCTGTTGTAAAAGCTATTTATATACTCTTCACAGCAGAGTATGAAATAATACATAAACAAAAATAGAAATCAAAAGAAATATTAGTTAAAATAGTTTTCAAATCAAACAGTTTATTAGATTTTTGGGTAGTATTTTAGATTTTTTGGGGGAGGAGGGGAATGGCGAAATGGGGTGGGTTGGGAGTAGGGTTTATAGGGTTTAAGTATTGGGTTTATGAATACCAACCCTGAGATATATATTTATACATAGAGATAGATATTATGCTTAAATCACACTCTTGTCCTAGCTCTAAAAAAATTCACCTGCTCTACATGTATTTTTGATCCTTCAAAATCACTTTCATCAAGGAGTTTACAGGCTAAATCAACTGATTCATGCTAAAAAAAATATTTAAATGTTAGTGGTTCAAAAAAAACTTGATAACTAATATTGTTTATTATTTGAAAATTTTTTCTTTATTTAAACTAAAACTTATTTGTAGTTTTTATTTTTGAATATGCACAAAAAAAAACAAAAAAACTTTGAGATTTTAATTCAAAGAGAACGTGTTAAGCTGTTTTGTTATAAAGTGTCAATCAAGCTGCTTTTATTACATAAAACAGCATTAAGAAACAAATGATTTAAATTTTTTAAATCAACTCCCCCCCCCCCCTTGATCAATTTTGTTTAACAAACAAATTGAAACAATTTACTCCTTTTGAGTAAATTGCTAGCAGAAAACATTCCAGTATATACTTATTATCTTGACTTTACACTGTACCTCATGAACGATTTTGACACTGTACCTCATGAACAATTATTAATTAAACTGATTTCATATGGAATAGCAAATATCATATGCAACTGGATTAGGGACTTTTAACTAATCGACACCAAAGAGTGATACAAGGCAATGAAGCATCAAGCTGGGAAATGATAACAAGCAGTGTTCCTCAAGGATCAGTAATTTCTTCTAATATATTCATTTTATATATCAACAATTTACCAGAGACTTTAGAACACTCTAAGCTTTTTACAGATGACACCAAGTTAATCAAGAAAGTAGCTAACTGATAATGATCAATTACTTCAGAATGAAGTTAACTAAGCTTGCAAACGCTCAGAGATCTGGCAATTATAATTTAAAAGTGAAAAATGTCGCATTATGCCTTTTGAAAAAAATAACCTTTGTTACATTTATATACTAGGTGACAAAATATTACCAGTCTCTGATACCAAAAAAGATCAAGGAATTTACAGTCATCAAATTTCAATTGGAAAAGTTACATAACCAATTGTAAAAACGCTTTATTACATCAATAAAAAAAATTTTAAGATACTATATGTAACATTTATAAGACCTTTATCTTAAATAATTTGCAATACAAGTATGGTACTCATACTTAAAAGTGATATTACACTTGAAAGAGTTCAACGTTATGCCACTAAATGGATACCCCAGATTTGAAAACAAAGTTATAAAACAAGAATTAAAATACCTGGCTTAAGCACATTGGAAAAAAGACGTAAAAGAAGCGACTTAATTCAAATGTACAAAGTATTTAAAAAAATATTGTAAAACTAGATTGTAATATTTTTGCCTGATATCAGCCCAACACAAGAAGCTATAATTTCAAAGTCAGAAGAGAAATTGATAAAAATTGCAACATTCATCATCAATTCTTAACCAATAGAGTCTCACAAATGAACAAATTACCAGATTTTGTCATTTTTGTCAAAAGCAAAAGTTTGAACTTATTCAAAACTCATATTGATAAAAATCTAGGGGTATATAATTTGAAATTTATAATTTATTTACCTAGAAAAAACTAAACAATGTATATGTTGTCAAAGTGAAATTAATTACTATTAATTTTACTTGTAGTTTTCAAACTACTACAGCCTTCTATTATATTATATATTAAAATATATATATATATATATATATATATATATATATATATATATATATATATATATATATATATATATATATATATATATATATATATATATATATATATATATATTAATAAAATAGTATATATATATATATATATATATATATATATATAAAATAGTATATATATATATAAATATACTATTTTTTAAAATAAATATATATTAAAAATAAATGCAAAAATAATATCGAGAGAGTACAATCACAAAATAAAAAGTTTTACATTATTTCACAATACTTTTATTGATCGCTATTAGATGTTTTTCACATACAAAAAAAAAATAAAATATAAAAATTAGATTTTAGAATATGAAACATAAAAATATAGGCTTGAAAAAAAAAATTCTAGTTTCATTTAAAAATCTTAGCTTTGGGTAATTAATTTACATTGCAACAATTGTTATTTAATAAAATTTATAACTCATTATAATTCTTTTTTGAATTAACTTTTAATTTTCAAATAAATTCAAAATGCTTATGAAGAAAGTTAAGATTTACGGCAAAAAATAATCTTAAAATCATTTGTGAAAAGCTAATGTCTTTTCTTCAGCAAAACGCTCACAAACCAGAAATAACAGAACAATTTTCCCAACTTCAAATTTTTTACTCACATTCATTTTCAGTTTCAAACTTCATTTTAAAAAATTTAGTTAATTGCAGAAGAAAAAGTTAAAAAATAATCAAGTAAAATCATATTAACTTTTATATTAAAATATAAAAAAACCGTCTGAAAATAAAAAAAAAAAAAAAAAAAAATTAAGTTATACCTTTAAGTAACAGCACCTAGCATCACCTTTAAAACTACCATCAGTGTTTTTATATAATCTAACTTTTTTAGCGCCTAAATAAAAAAAAGTTGTCACTTTTTTAGCGCCTAAATCAAAAATCTGTCAACCTGAAAATAATTTTTATGTTTAACACAATCCTGTAGATTTATATTAAAAATAAAGTATTTAAAAGTATTAAAGAGTGAATTTATAAGGTCACAATATTTACTTTATACTAACAAAATTTTGTTTGGTAATATTTAGAAAACTCTATAGATATTTTAAGCAATACTCAATTAAGTATTTAAGATATTAAAATTCACACACCATTTAATTTATTGTTACAAAAGTTATAAGTACGAATACACAAAATCTAATTATTTCTCATTATTTACAATTATAATGAATTTGGATATAAAAAAATAAAGTTTGAATTTTTAAAAAACTAAACTTTTTATCAAAATATCAAAAGAAAATCTTCTTTATTCATTTAGTTATAGTTAACTTTTGATAACATTATTACATAATAACATTTCTACATACAAGTTAATTTATCAACTAAACTAGTTTTGCGGTAATTTAGTAAATTGCAATACTTCAAAAGAGTTAATGTCAATAAATATGAAAAGCAAACAAAAAGAACTTTGTGACATCTGTTAGAAGAATGTAAAAAAAATTGCTAAGAATAAAAATTTTTTTATTCATCACAAGACCTGATTTATGCTTTTTATTTTTTAAACTAATATTTCTTGTTTAAAATATTTATACAGGATTAAAAATTTAACACAATTTGTGTTTGGGTGTATTTATGTGCATACATATAATCTAAAAAATTGAAACATTGTGTGAGTTTTTTTTGTTTGTACAAGAAGCGACTTAATTCAAATGTACAAAGACATCTCACATTTATGCTAGCATCTAATTCTTTGTCTGAAACTATATGTATTTATGCTAGCACCTAATTCTCTGTCTGAAACTATATGTATTTATGTAAGCATATGTATATGTGGGAGACAAAAAAAAAATTTGAAAATAGCATAAAAACAGCTTACATACAAAATATAAAAAAAAACCTGTGTCATCTTCCATTATAATTCCACATTTTGACATAAGAGTAACAAAATCTTCTTCTGTCAAATTTTCTGGAAGACCTGTAACATAGACATTATTGTTTGTTTTTTGATCTATATCAAACCATTCTTGTTCTTCATTTTTTCTTTTTTTCTGTTTCATTTCTTCAGATTTTTTTTCTTTCGATACTTTACTTGTTTCATCTTTAACATTTTCATCATCATGTAAATTTATATTTGGATCGTGTTCTCCAGAAGGAGTGAAGCCGTAGTTGGCTTGATAATAGGCTATAAAATCGTCATCTATCTAAAGTATTTGAAAAGATTCAAACTGTACAAAATTTCAATCATTTGTTTCAAATTATATAACCAAGATATACTACTATATTGCTTCTATTGAGCAAATCATTAAGTTAAGTTCTTGTAAAACATAAAAAATACCTTTGGAATCCATCCTCTTTTGCCTTGATCCCATTCATAAATTGTGCCGTCAGTTGGATCGGTATATGTATACACTTCATTAGAAGAGTTTTGTTCAAGATAATGTTGCCACTCTGGTTTACTAGAATCATGAGAAGCTCCTACAGCTTGCTTTTTAAGAATATTGACAATATCTAAAATATTGTTAAAAAAATTATTACTTGTTAATTTAAATCCAGTTTTATAACAATATATTTAAATTAATAGTTAAATTTTAGATTGTTGATCTTGTGAAATAAATATTGTAGTAAAAAAACTGTTAAAATAACTTAGTATTTGTTTAAATTCAAATATTCTATAATAAGTGGAATAAAATGGAGAGGGTAGTAAACATAGTTCACAAATTAATTGTAAATTAAGATACATATAATGCTTTAAATTGCCTTTCAGTAATAAATTTCATGATATTAAAATATTTATGATATTTTATTCAACAGTGTGATTAATAAATGCTAATTTAATAATTTTTAAAATCTAGTTATCGTAAAGAAAGCTTAAAGCAACTCATAACTTACTATAGCAGAACAAAACGCAGCAACAAATTCGGAACATTATACATTTAGGCTCCAGATATTTCAGAAACCAAAACAAAAAACAAATTTAAAAGTTTCAAAATCATGTTACTTACTAAATGTTGAAAATGGGAAAACAGTTATGATATATGTATATCTAAAGAATAAAATCAAGAAGGCAAGAAACAATTTTACCCCTCAAGAGTTATAGAAACCAATTATTAATGAACTTGTTTTTAAGAGTGTTTATGTAAAATGTTTTTAAATAAGTTTTAATTAACATATATAAGTTATTTATTATAGATTATTAAATTAAAGATTCTTTCAAAATTAAAAACTGTTAAAAACTTTCTTTAAAATCAGCTGAGCCAAAGCACAATAGAAATCATGATGATGATGACATCATTGTTGTCAATCATGATGATGATTGACAACAATGATGAAGATGATTTAGCATCATGTCACTACTCTGGAACAACTTTAAACTGACTTAGAGAACATAAAGTAGATTTCGTAAAAAAACACTGCAACCCACCATATTGTCCCAAACTACATCATTTCGAAAAATATCAGGCTTTTGTCAATAGAAAACTAAAGTTCAATGTAAAAGAAACCAAAAACATTAAAGACTTCAAAAATAAATGGATTAGAGCTACCAAAAAAGGCCAGCCGAAGACTGTGCAAAAGCTGATGTCAAGTATAAAATGCAAAGTATGTGTGTTCTCACGTACATAAATTCAGACTATCTTAAATAGAATTTAAGAATATTAAATTAAAATATATACAACATTACATATATATGTATATGTAATGTTGATTTAAGAATATTAAATTAAAATATATACAACATTACATATAACGGTACATATATATATATATATATATATATATATATATATATATATATATATATATATATATATATATATATATATATATATATATATATATATATATATATATATTATATATATATATATATATATATATATATATATATATATATATATATATATATATATATATATATATATATATATATATATATATATATATATCTACTATAGCATATTTATATGCGCAATTGCTCACTTTTTTGGCTAGCCTAATTTAAGTGAGCGTTTTTAGAAAACTATGAGGGAAAACGAAGAATAATGAATGAAAAGGTTGCTGACCCATACCAAACCCTCAGTTGATGTAGCAGCACTCCACGGCGAGTCAGGCTATTTGTCAGTCGAGATATGTACTGAAGCCCCCGGCAGCAGGCTATTTGACATTAGGTGAATATGACATTATCATGCTCACCTAACTCAGCAGTATAAGATATATATGTATATATATGTATATATATATGTATATATATACAGGCCTTGTTAAGAAGCGTTACGCAGCTCGCATTTTGCCTGCGAAAAGGCGATTTGCCTACGCGTTCAGCAGTTATGCGTTACGCAAAAACTTTTATCTTTAAGAATATTTAAATTATCTTTTTATATCGTTTATGTGACGTTCATTCAGAAGTATTAAAGTCGTAAGTAAAAACATTTAACCGCAATTGTAAACTAATAGATTTTTTGTTAAAGAAACAATTTGTTTAATAATTTTTTTTTTTGTTTTTAAAAATTACTTAAAGAAAATAAAGTGTTTTAAGTTTAAACTTTTCATCATATTTAATTTTAAATATTAGATTTCATAAGTTTATAAACAATCAAATTTAAAAAAAGAAATATTTTCAAGTTATTTTAAAATTTAAATATTTTTTTAATAATTATAGTTTTTAGTAGATAAATTTATTAAATTTAATTAAAATTCTTTCATTTAATTTTAAAACAGAGCATTTTAAAATTTTTTAATTTTAAAATGCTCCGTTTTTTTTATAAAATTACCAAAGTAAAAAAAGATTTAATAAATTTAATTCAAGTTACTTTAAAATGTTCGTATTACATATAACTTTATTTTAATTTTAGTTAAGTTTCAGGTAAGTTCTAAATACTGGTCTGAAAGATGCGCTTACAAAAGCGCATTATTTTCCAGTTTTTATTTTTCCATTATTTTACAGTTTCATTCATTATTTACAGAAGCGCATTATTCATTTTATAACTACAAGTTAATAAATGACGTCAATACTTTTAAACTCGAGTTATAAATGTTATGTTTGGGTTTTCCCTTTGCCGTTTGCCAAAGAATTTTTTTTATAAAACAAACCAAGGACATATTAACAATACGTCCTTGAACAAACTAAAATACAAACCTATTAAAAATAACGTGATCAGTAAATAAATTCTTTAAAAACCCAACTTATCTTTATTTTATTTTAAAAACAAAACTAGTACTTGAGCTATAAATATAAGATACATAAATTTCAAAATTATAATGATATTTGTTAAAAATATATTCTGCTTATAACATCTGAAAACCGAAAACACTATTTTTTTTTTGGATTGAGAAAAAAAATATTAGGTTTCACTGTACATAAAAATAAAATAGTTTAATGGAAATAAAAAAAAACAAAGCAGTAAATTTCGTTTCTTTACAACATTTTTTTTTTATCAAAACAAACGTTTTTTTTTAAAAGGGAAAACCCAATCTATGCGTTTAGTTATAAGTACATTTAAATCCCTTTAAGAAAATCAACCATAAACAAGTGCTAAATTTAAATTATTTAAAAAAAAAAATAAAAAAAAAACAACCATAAAACGAATGTTTAAAAGCAAAAAAATTAAGTTTAAATAAGTATAAGATTTTAATACAAGAAGACTTTTTTTTAAGCAACATTGAAATTTTTTTTTTTTATAACAACATTGTACAATTTAAAGCTATTTCGTTTTAAAGACTAACAATAGTTTTTAATATCATTTTAAATTTAATTACAATGAAGTAAAATCTGCCTGTGTGTGTTTGGTCAGTAAAATTAAAATAGTTTGAAGGAATTACTTATTAACGTTATTTAAAACTATTTTTCTCAAAAGCATAAATACAAAAGCTTAACTGTATACAATAAATTAGGCATGTGAAGAAATTTTCAAATTCTTTAAAGGACATTTGTTTGAAACATTTTAAAACAAAGCATAACTATGAAAAAAATTTAGGAAGTAGCCTGGTAGTGTTTAGGTCTTAAGATGATCAGTTTAAAAACATACTAACATAAAAACATAATAACATTTGACACAAAATTTACCTTACCTGTTTGGTCATCTAACAAGTCTTGCTTATTGTTTGCTGTTTCCATCATTTTTTTCTCATCCTGCTTTTTAGTATCATCAACGTCACTGTCACTATCATGCTCACTGATATCACTCATCTTGCTTTATTATTTATTAAAATACATTCACTAGATCTTTTAAGAAAAACTTGAAACAATGTAATAATTAAAGTAATGAAGTTTTTTATATTTACATAACTCAATATTTTCTATAGCTCAATCATTTCTGATGATTCTTTGTTGATGAAACACAGTGTAAAATGAAAAAAATATTTTTGTTAAGTGATTTTCAACTAATTTAATTGCTCTGTTCTTTTAAGAACATTGAGCACTCTATTTTGTAGAATACATTTTTAAAATTGTTTATATATATATTTTTTTTATTTATATATATATATATATATATATATATATATATATATATATATATATATATATATATATATATATATATATATATATATATATATATAATATATATATTTATATATATATATATATATATATATATATATATATATATAATATATATATATTTATATATATATATATATATATATATATATATATATATATATATATATATATATATTTTTATTTATATATATATATATATATATAATATATTTTATATATATATATATATATATATATATATATATATATATATATATATATATATATATATATATATATATATATATATATATATATATATATATATATATATATACACACAGTAGAATCCTGTTAACTCGGACTCCAATGGGGTATATAATTATTGTCTATTATTTATAATTATTTTTAAAACCCGGAAAATCAGTAGGGTAAAATATCCGGAAAATATCCGGAATATATTTTCCCTAATATTCCTCTTAATTTTGATTTTAGCTGAGCTGTATCGAGTTTTTTTTTTTTAACCTTTCTTAATTTTTGTATGAGTAATGAGTATCAGTAATTGATCAAAGTATAACCAAATCAAAGATATCAGTGAAAATATTTAGTTTGTTAAATTATGTTTGATGCAAAGGTAATTAATTTTTGAACATTTTAAGTTTTAAATTTTAATTGATATTTTTGAGTTTTTAATGTAATAGTTACTAACAGATAGAATTTAATCGAAGCTTAGCTGAATCGAAAGATCCCCGTGAAAATGTTTAGCTATGTTTAATTATATTTGACGCAAAAGTATTTTATTTTCGATTGTTTAAAGTTTGGAATTTTTATTGAAGTATTGGAAGTTTTGTTATTGTATGCTTTTATATGCAATTCAAAATAAAAGTCCTAGTTAAGCGAAGTTTTTTCCCGAAGGGATCTCAAAAAACAGTACGAGTTAGCGAATGGTCCGACTTAACCAGGGTACAATTTAAGCAAATGATTTTACAGTAAGTTGATAGAGAATGTTAAAGGGGAATTGAATTTCCGTCTGACTTAGTCAAAGTCTGACTTATCCAGGGTCTGAGTTAACGGTATTCAACTGTACATACATACATATATATATATATATATATACATATATATATATATATATATATACATATATATATATATATATATATATATATATATATATATATATATATATATATATATATATATATATATATATATATATATATACATACATACATACATACATACTAAGAAAACCTTTCATAAAGCTAAACTTAATACATTCCTATATTTTGTCACAATATAACTTTTTTACTGAATTAAACTAAATAAGTGAACTAAATAAAAAATATATTTATATTTGTTTTTGTAAAATAAAAGAATATTTTATTTACAGTTTTACTCCTTTCCCTACTCCTGCCCCCCCCACCCCTAAAAAAAATTTAAAAGGTTGCGTTTTATAAACATTATCTCAATTCAATAACAATTAGGACACAGTGCATTATCTCAATCCAATAACAACTAGGACAAGTAGGATAAAAGGTCTAAAAAACTAAATATTGTTTATTAAGTAGAAAATAGATAAAGCTATGAGAAACATCAATATTTGAACTAAATTTTGTTCCTAACAAGATCTTAATTTTAGTTGTTAACAACTTTGTTTCCAACTTATTTTTCGTAAAATATTTTATGAAATCACTGTACTAATTATTTTCAGAAAAAAAAAATCAATTTTTAGATAAATAATGCTGAAATTAATAGATTTTAAAATTACTAGTATCTAAAGAAAAACCAATTGCCAAGGATATTTTTATCATACTTATAAACAAAAGAACAAATAACTTAAAGTATAATCATTTATCAGATCTTTCTAAGATAAAAAAAACAACACATAAATGGAAGTTTAAAGTTTTATAGACAAAGATTTTTAGAAGAAACTAAATATTCAGACTAAAAATTCTGCACCCCACAATTTAAAAGTACGATCAAATGAGCAAGTTGCTACATAATTTCCATTTCCTGAAACATCTACACAAGTAACTTTTTGTTCATGACCAGCAAGTGTTTTCAATGGAGCCCATGATGGATATGACCATACCTTTGCTAGTCCATCATAAGATGATGTTAACAGTATATTGTCACAAAATTTAAGATGAGAAACTAGATTGTTATGTGCAGGTATAGTATAAATAGCTTCCTGCTTCCGCAAGTCCCAAATCATACATTTCTGATCTTCACTTCCTGTAGCTAACTGAAATCCATTAGAATGAAAATCAATTGCTAATACTTTTTTTAAATGTCCATCTAAAGCAAATATATTTCTTCCTGTCCGCAAATCCCAAATCAATCCTCTAGCATCTAAACCACAGGTTGCTGCTAGAGAACCATCAACTTGAAAGCAGATTTTAAATACTTCCTGAGCATGTCCCTCTTGATGAAGGACTTCAACTTGCTTTTCAAAATCCCAAAGTCGCCATGACTTGTCAAAACAAGTTGTACCCAAAAATCTTCCAGAGGGATGGAATGCTACACTAGAAACTCTCTTATCGTGACTATCAATTCTACCTAGTGGCTCCTCATCTTGCAGGTTCCATAACTGAACACTACCATCTACTGAACATGACACCATGTTAACAAGGCTTGGATCTAAATCAATTGTAGCTCTAGGATGAAAAACAATACTGCCAACTCTTTCATTATGACCACGTAAAACACGGATTTCATTTCCTTCTGGTACAGACCACAATTTACACAGACCACTCCATGATGATGTAGCCAAAAGACTACTATCTGGAGAAAATTGGCAGTAAGATAATGGACGATTATCACCTATTTGACTACAAAAATTTACTAAGGATTGTGTTTTACGATGCACTTCCTGAACTTTAGCAGCAGTTACTGACTCAAGTTTTTTCAAATCTTCTTTTGTTTTCCTTAATCTATCACGTGTACGTGGTATAGAATAATTAGCAATGAAAAGTCTAGCTTCGTACAATGATAAAGGACCTTCATGATACCATATCTCATTGGGTACCTTTTCTTCTTCAATTAATACCTTTTCTTCTTCTCTGTGTTGAGAAGTAAAACCAGGCAATAATTGTTCAAAGACCAGTAACAAATCCTTCAGTCTGTCTCTTCTTTGTGCTGGACCTTCTCCAAACAAACAAATAGGATGTCCAAGTTCTCTCAATTTTGCTTTTACAATATAATCGTCAGTAGAAACCGTAATTGATCGCAACATTTTTCGCTTTTCAAACTCAGCCATCAGTTCTTGTTGACGTTCTGAAGAAACATCTGCCTTCATATCAAGAGTATCCCCATCAGTTATATTAATATTTCCAGCTTTGATTGCTTTTTTTATAGCAGCTTTATTTATATTGCGACCTCCTTCATCATCAGAATCTAAAGAAGAATATTAAATATTTTTATAAACATGATCATCAACATCATAAAATCACCTTTATCACCATTATGAGTATCAACATCATAATTATTGTCATCATCAATACATATATGGTGTAATACATATTATAATTGAAGTAAAACTCTTTCTTTAAATAAATTTACACAGACTTAACCTAACAGCAAGGTAAAAAGAACAATGTATAACAAAAAATCCAGTCTTATAAATAAAAAAATAAAAAGAAACTGTTTTGAAATGGTTTGAAGCTATAACTGGAAAAAATGGGGCAATAAGGAAAATAGTGGCTTGAAAACTGGTTCAAAATATTAGTCATTCTTAATATTTTTATTTAATCATTCAAAAGATATATAAAAACCATAAAAAATCAAGAAAATTTTTGAAATAATTTGTTAATGCAAAATACTGTTTGTAGCAACCAGGGATGTGCAGCACTATCAATTTTTAGGGGCTCCGGGGTCAAAAAATAGGAATTCTGTTTAATTTTGAGTCCATTAAACAGAATTTTTAGGGATAAAATAGTCCCTGAAGTGCTAGAGTAGACTATATAAAGTTTCAATTATGCTGTAAAAATTATAATTTATTTTTGATTTTATTTCTTTGTTAAAAAAATTAATATTTCGTTTATGTTGAAGGTATTTCTATAAACATACTTTATATTAAAAAATAGTTAACTTCAAGAGTACACGCGGTAATCGTGTAGTGGTAGAGTGCTTGCCTGGTGTACAGAAAACTCCAAGTTCAACTATCATGCTTAACTTGTTTCTCTGTGCATTGGCTTTCTCTTATTTTATACACTTCTCAAACTTATATAATTAATTAAATAATCCATAAAAAAATAGTTATTACAACTGTTATTATAAAAAATTGTAAAGTAACAGCGTATTTAAACCAAAATATATAAATGCGTTTTTTATTTTATTTAAATGATAAAATAGAGCAACTCAAAAAATATTATGAATTTTATTCTGACAACATGCTCAGATACTTTTAATAGACTTCAATAGTTATATCTTGTTTCTCCATGCAGCGGCCTTGTTAATTGAGGTTTGTGTTTTGGAGTTATAGAGTTAAAAGAGGGTTATAACTACAATTAAGTAGCCTCTTCGTCTGTAGTGGCCTTCTCAGTCTTGAAGAGGTGAATTAACATAAAAAAAAAATAAAAAAAGTAATTGTAAAATGACACTTTCTAACTGTGTTTAAAAAGACTTTTTTTATCTAAAAAACTTATCAGTAAAGCCATATCTGTTAATTTAAACAGTATAGGAAAACGGGTTAGAAAAATACTTTCTTTCACTTTGACATCAATGCAGGCATCAAACTCAGACCATTAAACTTGGTTCTGACCCAGAACTCTAACCGCTGCATCACGACTACAATAGGTTTAAGAATGTCAATATTTATGTCTAATGTTGTCCCGGTTTTTACGTATGAGAGAAAAGTGCTAAACTAATTAAAATTCTCATTGCCTTCTCTTTCAGAAAAACCGAGTCAATGACAATCCTAACCTAAGTATATTTTGGCATATAGCTATCAGTGAACACCAAAGGTTTTGTGCACCACATATTCTGTGACTTGCCTCTTTTATTCTTTAAAATCAATGTCTGCTAAAGGTGATGTATGGCTTAAATACGCTGCACATTTTTAATAACTTATATGTCAAAAAGCTTGCCATATGCAGTGTCATTCAATGCATTTGAGTTTTTACTGGTTCAAAGTTATGTAACTGTTGGCTAAACAAATTTAAATTAATAAACTTATAGAAATTAATAAGGATTTGTGAAAAAAATTTCAGATTCTATTATAAAATTAAAAAATCCCAGAATCCCAAAGTCTTAACAATTTTTATGACAGGCAGGACTCCAGGTAAAAACAGGGACTTCTGGACTCTGACTTTGCATCCCTGGTATCAACAATATTAATTACCTAATATCACTAACAGGGCCTATTCTAGGAAAAAAAAAAATTAAATTCCTCAATTCTTAATTTGAGCGGTGCCCAAATCAGCACCAAAATACAGTCAACGTTATCGAAAATGGTCTAGAATAGTCCCTGACTAACAATGTCTTAATATAAGATTAGGAAGAGGCATTAACAAATACATTTACTTAGGGTTAGGGTTTAGGCAGGCAGAATCTCAATATTTATTTTTAATAACTATGTATATTATATAGCTTGCCAAAAATCAAGAGGCAAAAATTTAATTTGCTTATATTTTTAGTCAATATATAGCCCTTGGAATTAGGGTCAGCTAACTGCCAAACCTATCAGTGTCTTCGGCAATTTTTAGCTAACCTTAATTTGATTTGGCATTATTAAATACATTAAAAACTACAAAACAAACACTTTATTTATTATACTAAATATAGTTTTTTATAATATAAATATAATATAAATTTATTATACTAAATTTAGTACACTAAATTTAAATAAAATGATTAAAATAAAAGTGGTATAACAAACATTTTGCTGTAAAATTTTAAATAAAATAGTTAAAAATATAATGGAAATAAAATGTTTTATTCAATTTCTAAACAGAATAATTAATATAAAAAAAGCAAAACAAATTTTTTTATAAATTCTGAATAAATTAATTTTAAAAACTTAACATTTAAAAAAACATTTTATTTAATTAAATAAAACGTTCCTTTAAATATCTTTAAATTTTTAAATGAATTTATAAATACTAAATAAAAAAAATCAAACAAAATTTAATCAAATTCTAAATTAAATATTTAAAATAAAAACGATAAAACAATCATTTAAATTCTAAATAAATTCAAAAAAATAAAAATATAAAGATGTTAAATTGTTTGTGCTTGCAAAATGAATTCTGGTAGAGAAAGTTTTGCTTGTGGAACAAAAATTAGTAAACCTTCAAACAAAATATCCAATACTTCAACAAGATCATTTAATTTAAAATACCACCTAAGAAATCACTATCCTGGTGTATTCTAGATTATTAAATAGAATGATTAAGTAAAAATAAGTAATACTGCTAGTTCTTTGTTTTCATCAAGTGCATATAAAAGTAAACTTAAGTTAGACAACTTAATCTTACTAACTACTTCACATCTCAAAAAGTTACAGTGTGAGCATTTGAAAAATAAAATTATTGAGTTGTAAAGAATTCATTACCTCTATCTTTTGCGAGCCAGCTACGCGTGAAATAATAGATGAAATGCAGAAAAATCCTAAGAAGTTTAGATAGATCCAATTTGTTGTTTGATTAAAGATGAGGCTAATATATAAAAAAATATTATTTAGAGTCAATTAAAAATGATGTTATTAATTTTAAAAAATGGTTGCCTGTACATGATTAGAAATAAATTATTTTGGAATCATTTTAAATTTTTTGTTGTCAGTAATAAAATTATTACACGTACCCTAGCAGTAACGGATACACAATCCCAGCATAAAAATGAGTACCTTTATTAGTGAAGGATGTATTACTAGAGTATGAAATAAAAGATATAATGTATTGAGCATTGTAACTGATAATGCTTCTAATATGATCAATACCATTGATAAGCTAAATGGAAACAATGTGCAGAGGAGGAGAATGGAAACCAAATTGTTTGTTCAAAACATGATACTTCAGATGTAGAACTTCAAGTACAATCTGATGACGATGATAACTCAGAATTTGCGTTGTGGTGCTCACACTTTACAACTAGCCATTTTTGATGATTAGCAGAAAAACATGCAACTACTATTGTAAGCAAGATCAGGCAGGTTGTAATACAGCAAGAAAACCCAAATCAGAAAAAATAATCAAACAATGCTCGGGAAAAGTAACAATTTCAGATTAAGTTACCAGGTGGGAAAGCATCCTCATCAACTAACACCTCTGATAATGAGTTTGACTTCAAGAATGCTAAGATGTTTCACAACACATTCCTCCACTTACTGAATTGACAAAAAAAAAGTAGTATTTGCAATTTTTCAAGCATTCATTCTCAGCGCTAAAAATAACAAAATCAAATTTTAGAGCTGTTATAAAAGAAGATTTGATTAAAGCAATTTTGTTTGTAACAACAAACTCCTATACATAACTTTTATGTAATTACAACATTAAACATTAAAATTAATTCATTTATTATTTACAGTATATCTCCAAAATGATTTTTTTAAATACGTAAAATATTTAATTGAAATTTTAAAAGATATTTAAATGAGCAGGAGCAAAAAACTTGGAGCCAGAGCCGGCAGTCAGAGCTGGAGCCATGAATTAAGAAAACTTGGAGCCCGAGCCAGAACAATGAGTTGGAGCCAGAGCCGTAGCCATACACTTTTCTTCCAGCTTCGCACCCTGACTTTATGTGTCTTTTTTTCCTTATTTTGTTTATTTTTGGTAATATCAGGCATTTAAAACAGAATTTTGAAAGTTATGACATTTAAAAAAAAAAAAATTTGTGACAGTTTTTTTCAGAAATCTTTATAACAAAAATTTGTTACCTAAAATGCCATAAACTTTTGCAGAATCAGTCAACTTTGACAACTTTTCCACCCTTAAAATTTTAAATAAATACCTTTTCCGATAATAACAACCTAGTATTTATTCAGTTAAAAATATATATGTCATATACCTAATATAAGATAACTATTTTCAAAATTATTATTTGAACACAAAATATTTCAACTTGGTTGTCCCATTAACCAAAAGTTTAGTTTACAAATCATAACATGTATAAAATTAGTGCATGTTTAACAGTTATTAAAGAAAGCATCTTGATGCTTTGATGTATATTATGCAATAACTACATCAACAATAAATAATAAATTATTTATGCTATGTATGTTCTATATAACAAAATAACACTGGATTTAAAAACTTTTTAAATAAAAAATATTTTTAGAGGTACCCGCTGACCCACTACCACAGTTATATAAAATATTTGGGAAAAACTTAACTTTTTTGAAAAATACAATAAATTTTTTTTTATAAAATTTCACTTTTTCAGCGTACAAGTTTGATATA